AGTGGGCTTGGGCACCGGTCGGGCCTCTCCTCTGTTCTAAAGTAGAAGGGCTGGGTTGTAAGTGGAAGGAATGGAATGCACTGCTGAGGCTCCCCTAGGGCCAGAGTCCTTTGACAACTGACCGTTTTTGTCATCTCCTTCAGGCCTCAGGCCCTTTGGTAGGTTTTAGCAGGCCTGGGGTGTGTGAAATGATGGGAGAGACCAGAGTATTGTTGCTGGATATGTGGCTAACCAAAATTAGAAGTAGGCAAGAAAGCTGCAGACATTGGGGAGCCTGGGATTGGAGTTGTGGGGGTAAGGAGGGTTGTGGAGGAGCAGCCAGCACAGGATTCCAGGCCCACTGGATTATGGGATGGGTTCTAAACTGTGCAGAAATAGCAGGGCTCTGCAGATGGGGAGATCATGGAACTAGGGGGCATGGAGGGTAGTGGCAGAATTTGGGGTAACCCCAAGTCAGACAGGACACCAGAGGAGACACCAGGATCTCAGAGGAGGGTTGGGATAAGGAAAGAATCCAGCCCTGGTGTCCTCCTTACCCACCCTCTCCCACCTTGGCCACCAGAAGTTTTCTAAAATTAAGTGGGTACCTCCTCTGTTGGAAATTCTAGCTCCTGGTGTGACCTTGGGGTGGGGGTGGGCGGAGTCGCACTCATCTTCACCTCAGCCTCACTACCACATGCCTCTGTCATCCACACTCATCTTCACCTCAGCCTCACTACCACATGCCTCTGTCATTGTCAACGATTATGGGAAACTAGTAATCAGTCAGAGCTGCCAGCCAAAGAATACCTGACTGAGATTAGGAAAGGTGCCCATTCCCAAATATACTCCAGCCCTAAGTGGGTAGCACTCACCCCATGCAAAGTGAGTATCAAACATCACTGTATACACACCTATATATATTTAACACTGAGTTTTCTAGAAGGATTCTGTTTATTCGAGAGATTCTACTTCTTTCTGATTTATGCTATTCAATCAATATTTGTAGACCCAGAGGAAGGGTGACAGGGGACTGGTTCTTGCCTGGAGAAGTACTCAGAATTTTTATCAGAACTGACAAGTGAGAAAATCTTGCTTCGAATATACTGGGAAATGAACAGGACTGGCGGCTGATCTGGCCTGCTAGCTAAGGAGGAGGAGGCAGCCTTTTGACAGGAGGAAGGCTCCGTTGAGATTGGGAGGCCGGCAGCAATGTGCTGGGATGGTAGTGAAGATGGGAAGGACAGTCAGAAGTGAGGACCTGAATTCTATGTCCCGGGAACTGCAGGTCACCTAGTCTTTCTGGGGATGGGGTTGGGGGAATGGAGTGACAAGGACCTCGAGGTGGGCTGACATTGCTTCCTGGAGGACCATGGACTGGCTTTTTTGGCCTACTGGTGTGCCTTGGTCCAGAGAAATTTGGGTTTGTTTTTACATTGACTTTTTAAATGTTGCCAACATTTAAAACTCGGGAACTTTCACTTGAGAAATCATGTTTTTTCTTGAATACTTAGAAACTCTTATCACATAATGTCTATTATTGGCAGAGGCCAACACAGTGGTCAGGTGGAATTGAGTAGCAGGTGGCTAGGACCTGAGTTCACCACATTCCCTCACACCTGTGATTTCACTAATCCCTTCCTTGTTGGCCCATGGGCCATCTCCAGGTGGGGGTAAAGAGTAACTGTTGTGAAGCATATGAAAAAATGTTCAACATCACTCATAATAAGGGAGATGCAAATTAAAACCACAGTGAGATACCACCTCACCCCAGTGAGAATGGCACATCTTCAAACAACTAGCAACAAGAAATGTTGGTGAGGATGTGGAGAAAAAGAAACTCTCCTGCACTGCTGGTGGGAATGCAAACTAGTACAACCACTATGGAAAACTGGAGGTTCCTCAAACTGCTTAACATGGAGCTACCCTAAGACCCAGCAATCCCACTCCTAGGTGTCTACCCAAAAGACACAAAAACCCTGATTGAAAAAGATACCTGCACCCCCATGTTTATTGTTGCTTTATTTACAATTGGAAAAACATGGAAGCAGCCCAAATGCCCAAAAGTAGATGACTGGATTAAAAAGATGTGGTATATATATACAATGGAATAATACTCAGCAACCAAAAAAAGAAACATGTCTTTGCAGCAACTTGGATGGAGCTGGAAAAGATCATGCTTAGTGAGATAAGCCAGAAAGAGAAAGAAAAATACCAGATGGTTTCACTCATAGCAGGAGTATAATGGACCAGGCGAGAAAACCACAAGAATAATGAACCACCATATACCAGAGACATTTTGCGGGGGTGGAGTAGGGAATGGGATCAAAAAACGCAGGGGTGGGGAGGGAAGTGCACGGGATTATGGTGATGGCACACGGGTGACTTGGTGATGGGAAACCCACGGGGATTATAATTGAGATGAAAAAAAAAGTACAAAATGATGTAAAAATAAACTGTTATAAAAAAAAAAGTAGATGTGGGTGTTAAGAAAGGAATGAGCGATGTGGAAGGAATGAGCGATGTGATTAGGTGTTTATGTTAGAGTGATCTCTAGGCACATGCCCTTTCAGGAATGAGGGCCTTAGAGCACAAGTCTGGATAATGGGTCATTGCAAGGGGTCTCCAAAGAAGCTGAGACCTGGAGCCACAACATGAGTTTTAATAGGAAAAGGAACTGATTTTAGAACTTTTTAAAAAAAGTTTTATTTATGTATACAGAACTGGAGTACAGGCCAGAGATGCAGGGGCAGTGAGAGGATTCACCTGAGACAGAGTGGGGAGCAGAACAGGCGGATGGATGAAGTACACTGCTGAGGGGAGCAGCAGGTCGGTCAGGAGAGGTCTGCTGTGCCATGTGGGTCACCTCTGGAGCTGGGGATCAGCTTGCACTGAGGCAGCTGCAGCTAGCTAGCTCCTAACCTGTTGCGCCACCAGGGAGAGCCAGATTTTAGAACTTTTAAGGTTTTAGGGGACTGTATATTAATGCCAACAAACTACCACTCCACACCTTCTAGGATGACTATCATAAAGGCAGACAGTAACTACTAGTAGTGATAATGTGGAGCAGTTGGGACTCAGACACTGCTGGTGGGAAAGCTAAATGGAAAACTGTGGCAGTTTCTGACAATCCTAATTCTAGCTGGCAGTCCCATTCCTTGGTATGTGTCCAAAAGAAATGAAAACACGTCCACACAAAGAGCTGAACATGTGTGTGTATAGCAGCTTTATTCAAAATAGTCAAAAATTGGAAACAACCCATGTGTCCATAACCCAGCGAGTGGATAAACACTGTGACACATCCATACAGTGGAATCTTACCTGGCAACAGGATTGACCCAACGACAAAAGCACCACATAGGTAGGTACCAAAAGCATAATGTTGAGTGAAAGACATGAAAGCTAAGACTAGCAACTCTATATTTCCATGCATATAAAATTTTGGAAAAAGCAAAATCAGATCAGTGGTTGCCAACCAAAAGTCAGATGGGGAAAGGAGAATAATTACCACAGGGGCTATTTTGGATGATGACTATACTCTAAATTTTTATTTTTGGTGGCTGTTCTATGACTATATATGTATGTCAGAAGTCAGATCTGTGCATCTAAAATGAGTGACTTAATATATGTAAATCATGCTAAAGTAAAATTGATGGAAGGAAAAACCTGTTCAAGAGGTGGAATTGTTAGTTCAAAGTGGGAGGTGAGGTAGTGGGAATGGGGAGAGGGGGTCAGGAAGGGAGCCATGGTTGGTGGCCTGCTGTTTGGAGTGGGCATCTCTGCCCTTGGCCTGCTCACCCTCACACCCAAAGGAAGGCCCTTTCAGTCCTGTACCTGTGCCACCTACCTGCTCTCCCTCGCTCATTATCTTCAGCTCTACAGCTCTGACTATACCTGGTTCCTCTGAGACACTGGCCCAACTTCCCCTGCCCTTTGGTTCTGACCATTCCTTTTCCTTCCTCTGTCCAAGAGGGCAGTAGTGCCCTCTTGCGTAGCCAGTGTGTACTTGCCTTCCATTTTCAGGAGTAGGCATATTACCTGTAGATAGTGTTATAAAGAGGATCGAGGAAATCAGTAGTACAAAAGACAAGCTGGTTATTGCCCCTCTAGTGTAAGATAAAATATATTTGCCTGGTTCTTGTCCAGATAAAAATGTTCTAGCTTATTTGTAGTCCCCTAAGCTCAGAAGTTTTATTGGCAATGATTTGGTCAGGAAGAGAGAAACCAGTTCCAGCAGTACTTACACCCTGGTCAATTTGGGAGAAGGGCTGGAGGATGGAGTTCAGATGCTAATTGGGTTCCTGTAAGTTCTCCAAAACTGGAATTTTTTGGAAGAGCCACAGACATCTAAGTGGTGGCTGAGTCTTCCAAACCTCCCATGAATGCTTCTGGTGAAATTTAACCTGGAAATAGAGTTCCCAGGTTTCCAACCCCTGTGATAGGGAATAATATAGAAGAGGGTGCAAAAGTTGTTGAGTGGCCATGGGTAACCCTGAACAAGGGTTTGATGAGATACTAGAGCACATATACCGATTAGCTGCAATGAAGACACCATGCAAGCCTCTGGGAATTGTATTCTCATAGGGAGTCTAAATTGTAATTTACAAGCCCTTACAGCTCTCTTTGGCTTTCTATCTTCCTGCCTGGTTGTATCAGAAAAGTCATTGTCTATAACAGGCTCACTGGGGTGGGAGTGAAACATGCATTCATCCCTGTGTATTGTGTTCAGGCTCGAGGAAACCATCTCAAACAGCATCAAATGGTTTGATTCCTTCTAACATCTGTTCCATGGACTCTCATCGGAGAAGTCCCAAATCACCTTTATTCTATCCTGTAAAAGAGCCCTCATGTTCATACTACAAGCACAAGCATGAAGGTCATCGGTGTGTGCGTGTATGTGTGTGTATAGGGTATTGCAAGGGAACAGTGTCAGTGCTGCTAATGAGTGGGGCTGTTCCCACCAGACATTGCTGAATCCTTGTTTGCAAATACATAAAGAATGAGAGTAACAAAAAGCCAGTACACAAGACAAAAAATTGTTCTGTCTTTATTGTCTTAAAATTGCATTGTACTTTGATTGTGCACGCTTAAGTAGAAAGGAAAGTAGCTCATCACTTGAAACTACTCTATTTTGTGGGATATTTCAAGCTGTTTTACTATGGGCAGGAGCAGAGACCAAAATGCTGCTTGGTTTTAAAAAAGAGCCATAGTTATTTTAACAGAAGCTGAAGATTTGGAAGGAGTCAGATGAGAATGAAATTGAGATTTTGACAGGACTTAAAGGAGGCATAGGAAGATGACACAAGGGGCTTTTTTTGATGTCAAGGGTCAGGACTCAGGAGGCACCCAGAGGGGAATGGAAGGGAGAACAGAGGCCAGAGCGGCAATGCCTTGTGCTTAAATCTGAGATGAACGCCCCCTGCCAGGAGACTTGGGTCCACTGGGTAGCTGGGATGCACTGTCTGTGCATTACCTTGGCCACAGAAAGCCACACATTAGAAAAATAACTTAAAAGCTATACAATTGTTATTATAAATATTTTGTCTTTTAAAACTAGCTAATGTTGGTTAAAAAAGGTTCACAGTTGCTCTAAGAGAGCTGTTTCTCTATTGCACGGAAGTGAAAAAAGTCCGCTCTGATCCCCATATGTAAACAATGATTCCCTTCTCCTCTGGCAACCTCAGGAAACAGAGAACAGTATCTGCTGTAGGCAAAGCACTTGGGTACAAGGCACATGGAAGCTGGCAAGCCCTATTGGATCTACTCGGAACACACAGAATGCTTGCATTTCTTTTCATTTGATGTCATTGCGTCTTGAACCAGACTAAAGATGGCATTGGTTTCCTCATGCGCCTGTTCTCATTCCACGGTGACAGACTTGGCCAGATTTCTGGGGAAGTCAACCTAAAACAAAAATAAGTATCTGCTCAGGACCGCACAAAGCTCAATAATATGCTGTAGCTTGAAACTTTTATCAGCGTTCTTGAAGACCAGAAGATGGGTGCACCCTTAGACTCTAAATATTGGGAGTGGTTCCATACTCCAGAAGCTTCACTGAAGTTTAGCTCATTTAATACACATTTACAGTGCACCATACGTGTTGTGTTAACACTATGAAAAGGACATGATTCATGCCATTAAAAATAGCTAGCTCAATTTTTACTGTTAAATAGTCACTTTCTTGGAAGGATTCACACTAAATCTGAAATTTGTTAGGACTGGGGTTGGGAAGGAAATGTGGGAATGGTTGATAAACTGGGATTAAACTTTATCTGTCATCTGTTTAGTTTTTTTTCTTTATGATATATTTATGCATACAAGAGCTGGGATGTAGGCGAGAGATGCCAGGGGTGAGAATAGTTACCTGAGACAGAGTGGGGAACAGAGCGGGTGGACTGACTGAAATGTACTGCTGGGGGGAGCAGCAGGCAGGACAGGAGAGGTCTGCCACACCATGTGGGTCACCTCCCTGGCTGGGGTTTGAATTTGTGCTGCAGTGGCTACTGTCAGCTTTATAGTGCTGCACTTTAACCTGTTGCACCACCAGGGAGGGCCCTTCTTTTTTTTAAAAAAAAGATTTATTTATTTATATGTAGAGGAACTGGGGTATAGGCCAGAAGATAGGGCAGAGATGGGAGTGAGGGGGGCACAGAACAGATATATATCTACTGAAAAACACTGCTGAGCGGAGCAGCAGGTGAGACAGAAGAGGTTTGCTGTACCACGTGGGTCAGCTCCTGGCCAGGGATTGAACTCAGGCCATTAAGGTTGAGATTTAACCCCTATACCACCAAGGAGGCCTCTGCCAACTGCTTCTTTTATAGGTTAGAAGGAGATGAAATGTGATAAAATGTTAGCAAAGGTCAATTCTGATGACGTTTACATAATCAGATAACTGATGTGTACTTTTTTTTGGTATTGCTATATATTTTTTAAAAGCTCAAAATTGTAATAAATTTGTTTCTTGTACAATGAATTATATGGTTTTACACATTCATTAGTGAACTCACGAGCTTTTCTTAATGGATTATAAATTGACAATGTATATTAAAATCCTCAAACTCATTTGAGGACAAATCCTAAATGGAGATACATGTATGAAGATGTTCACTGCAGTTGTTATATGCAAATGTTCAAAAATTTAGAAACAGTTTACATACCAGAGGAGAAGACAGGCTAAGTAATAATTACATTCCATGTTATAAGATTGTGGAATACTATCTAATCGTTACCTGTTGCTCATGTAACAAATTCATTCTGAGAGAAATTACTTGTAAAAAAAAGGAAGGTGTAAAATTTTATCTTTGATATAACCTTGAAAAATACTAAATTCACATGCATAAGGAGAGACTGAAGTAAAATATTAAATTTGCCATTTAACATTACTTCTTGGTGATCAGGTTACCATTTAATGATAGGGTCTTTGTATATCTTACAATTAACGAGGGTTTTCAGGGGATATAAATAATTCCCAAAAGAGTTATTTTAAATGAAGTTATTTTTCCAGGTAAGTATTTAAGAACAAAAGGCAACCCTGGATTACATTTCTCCTCTTTGCTGGACTAGGGACGATTTTTAGACCTACGTCGTATCCTCGGAGAACAGCCAGGTGGAAGGAGAGAAGCTGCAGTGGGATCACGCTCAGGACGCCCTGGAGACAATCCACAGTGTGCGGCAGCTCTATTGTTTTATATGCAAACTTGGAACTTTCAGTGTCATCCCTGGAGCAGAGTATAATCGGACGACCCTAAAGCAGATCAATGTAGTCACAAAATGCAGATCTTTTCTGAAAGAAGCAACCTATTGCACAGCAGAACTTCTGAGAATGATAAGAGCAGTTTGTTTCTTGTTGCTGGAGTCAGGGGTGAGCATATATAGGACAGTGTTTGATGCTTTTGGTCTTCCCTCCCCTTCCCTGGTAGGGTGATTACCATCCTGCTGTAATCATTCGGCTTCCATTTGTTAAGTGCTTTCAATGTGCTCTGCAAAGGGCAGAGCAGATCAACTCTTTCTTCTAGTGGGGGTCATAGCTGAGTGGAGGAAAACTAAATTATACACAAGCAAACTAATAAATAATGAATTTCAGATTAAGTGCCTCCAGCGCATTGAAAGAGGGTAAACTTATTGAGAGACGTGGGTGAGGTGAGGTCTGTGAAGGCTTCTCAAAAGGAGACGTGGATTGAGGCCTGATGAAAGATCACCTTTGTGAAGATGTAGGTAGCAGGTTCAAGCCCATGGGTTTTTCTGCCCTGTGACATCATGGGCCCTCCTAACATGGATCTGGGTGCCCCAAGCTCCCATCTCAGGGCAACAGCAGTGTGATACAGGTCTTTCTTAACTCATGAAAGGGTTACAACCTGATAAATCCATTGAAAACATTGAAAATACCATAAATTGAAGATGCACATAATATACCCAACCTGCCAAACATCATAGCCCAGCCTTAAATGTGCTCAAAACACTTACATTAGCTAAGTTGGGCAAGATATCTGGCACAAAGCCTATTTTAAACTGTTGACTCTCTAATTTATTGAATTCTGTACTGGAAGTGAAAAACTGGGCAGATTAGTGGTGGATGATAGATTGGCTGAGTGGGAGTTGAGGTTGCTGCCTATTTCCTTCATAAGAAGATATCATACAGTGTGTCATCAGTTGGTAAAGATCAAAATTCAAAATCTAAAGTAGGTTACTACCTAATGCTTATTGCTTTAGTGCCACTGTAAAGTTGAAAAGTAAAAGAATTTGGCTGCTCTCTGTCCCAGGCTCCTGGGAGTGGCCTCTAGAGCATAAAGTTTTTCTCTGTGATAGAAATGTCTGCTTTTTCCTGGTCGCCCACACCTGAGTTTATGCTGAGGTGACTGCTGGTGATTTGGGATGGGGCTGACCATGCTGGAAAGACTCACCATGTAACTGGGGGGTTGGGGTTTTGAGCCCATGAGACCAGCCTTACCTCCTGCCCTCTGGTGCTGGAAGCTGAGCCCAATCACATGATGGGCATTCATAATGAGACCTCAGTGTAAACTCTGATGCTGAAACGAGCTCAGGGAAGTTCCCTGATATGCAGGGAGGGTGAAGCATCCTGAAGACTGGGAAGCTTTGAGTTTTGAGTCCCTGGACCCACTAGTATCATTTTTTGGAGGGTCCTTATTTGACACAAGCTATGCAACTTCTGTCACCAGACCCAGTCCAGATGGAGGGAAAATGCTCTGAAAAATCAGAATTTCCACGCTAGCTTATGTTGCGACCTCCCATTTTGTATGATCATCAAAATATTCTAAGCAACCATCAGTTTTCAACTGGACTGCCTTAGCCTCATAAGGTACTGCGTGGCTCAGGCGAGCAAGCACTGCCCCAGGATGGGAAAGTCCTCTTGAAATAAAAAATAATATTACAACTGGCTGATTAATAAAAGCAATTATAATAAAATCAATATTGTAAGACAAGGCAGTACTAGAACATGTTAAAAAATAATCAGTTCTTTTACTGCCCGGACGAGAATCCAAAACTTATCACTCTACTCTCTTAAGCTTTTTATTGCTTAGTCTTTAAATAAGGAATCTTACTATCTCCTTTAGTGATTTATCTACAAGAAAACTTCTCTAACCTAGCCCTCAAATTGACTTTACCCTCTTTCACAACTTCACCTTGGCCTGTGACCTTACTTTATCCTCTTTCACATCTCCAGCCCAACCTCCACCCTAGTCCTCCACTTTAATTTACCCTCTAAGATGTCTTAATGAGAATGAAGATCATTAAGTAGCATTTAAGGTTTAAAGGGACTTTATTTTAGCCAATCATCATTGTGGTAAATATAACAATGTTAGCTTTAAATTTTATGAATTTATGTACCTGTCTTAACTTTAATAGATTGATTTTAAGAGTAATAAATGTTATAATTTCAATTTCAATACGACCCCAAACTGTTCTTAGGAAAAAAGATTATAATCTCTCAGTCCAGTTCATGTGCTAATGTCATCCCACTGCTTGCTCCTAATGTATAAAATAAACTTCTGCTAAGAGCAAAACAGGAAGACTTGCACCCAACTCCGATTCCCATGTCTTCCTCGTACCTGTTCCCCTCCCCCCCCCCACCTTTTAGGAATCTCTGCTCTCTGACGCTGCTCCCACCTTAAGACCCTGCCTGTTCTGCCCCCCCCCCCAACAACCTGTGATCAGGGCCGGTCCCCAACACTGATATGTATCTTAATAACCCATAAAAGTAACACAGTCATGTACCACATAATGGCATGCTGGTCCCAACAGGCTATATCACACAGCCTAGGGGTATACTGGGCTATGTCATCTAGGTTTGTGTTATTACACTCTGATGTTCATACAGCAAAATCACCTAATGCATTTCTCAGAATGTATCCCTATAGTGCTTTCCTGTGCTTCAAGAGTTATTCTAGGAAACTATTGAACCCGAGGAAGTAGGGACAAGTTCTGAATTTGTATCCTGTTGGTGAGAAATATGGGTGATCTGCTAACTCCCAAGCTTGCAGGTGGTACCTGCAGTGAGCACCACCTGTGGAGGACTGTGAAGTTCATCTGTGAAACTGCCCTAACTCTGGGTGGCTAATGTCAGAAATGTCCCCAGGGCTACCTGCCAGAAGTACAGCCTTCCATCTCCAAGCTTGGGATTCAGAAGAGTTCTGGGCAAACCGGGTCACCGGGTCTCAGTGAGGGCTGGCTGTTGGCATAACTGCAGACGGGTCAGTTCTTTTCCACATGTGTGAATTACTCTGACGGGGACCAGGAAAGAGTGTGCGGTCACAGATGCTCACTAGCAGGGCTATGCATAGCAGATGTTGGCAGATAATGCATACGTGGTGGGTGTGTGTAGAAGACAGCAAGAAAGAGATAGCTGGTCAGCTAGGAGCTCTTACCTGGCGGGCTGTGACCTGCTGCAGGGCATTCTGGCATTTGGCAAAGCAGGGATCCTTCATGATGACCATGATGACAGGCATCTGCTTGTCAATCAGCGCCAGAGGCCCATGCTTCAGCTCCCCGGCCAGGATGCCTTCTGAGTGCATGTAGGTTATCTCTTTAATTTTCTAGGGAAACAAGAGATGGGACTACAGTCACACTAGGAAAATAGTAACTGGAGCACATCAGCTAGGGAAGGGATCCAGGGGAAAGATGCTGCTGAAAGGCAGGAACCTGAAAGCCCCAGGCAGATGGATGCATGGAGCAGTCAACAGCACTGAGGGCAGCTGGCAAGGCCAGGGCCAGAAGTGAGGGCTGGCCACCCTTCAGGGCATGCAAAAAGCTCAGCATGCATCCGGTGCCCCCACACTGGCCCCTGGGAGCAACCACCCCTTTGGAAGGACAAGGCTGTCAATTTCCCTTTCATTCTCCCCGCTCTGTAGCCAGTCAATGGCCGCCCCACAGTTATAAATTGTAAAGATGATTGTGTACTGTCTAGATATGCCTTCATTCAATTATCTGATTGACCCAATTTTATTTCTAATATTAATTCTAGACCATTAATAACTTCCAAGGGGTTGTTCCCATTTACTTATTAAGCAGAAATCATACACAGCTGTCATTTGATTGTTTCCTAAGTTCAGAGAGATTCATGTCTATTTATTTAGTGCTCATTAAAGCCACATCACTGAATTGGTGAGACTGTTGAAAAAAACATTTCTCATATCCCCTAGAACTATTTATTTGAGTCAGGGAAATACTGTCAGGGGTCACCCTGGGTGCCCAGACAGCTGGAGTGCCAGCCCCCAACTGACCACAGAGAGGCCATTGACTTATGCCAGCAGCTGTGTAAAAGCTTCTTTCTTTCCCCAAGGACCAACTTCGAAATGTAGCTGAATATGCATCTTTCATGGGCACTCGGGCACCGCAGCTTAGCCCCCCACTCCAGCAGCAAAGCCAAACGGGCACTGAAAGCGCACCAGTCCAGGTCTTACGTTTTAAGCACACCCTGGGAGGCAGCATAGCCAGTCCCTCACTTCCTGTGCCAAGGGTCAGAATCTCCATTGGAAAGATGTGAAAGTTGGATTTCATTATAGTCAGGCAGCTCACAGCTTGCACCCTACACTCCCCACCCACATCCTGTCTCTCACCCAGGCTATTAGTCTCTGAATGTTTCATATAAAATGATTGCAACTCATAATGTCTTTCAAGTGGGGGTGGGCCCCACTACTACTACTACTGAGGTCTGCCAAGTTGTGCTGCAGCCCACGGAGGCTGCTCGTGGTAGTGGGAAGTTGTAAGGCCATAGGCTGACTACTCCCTCTGCAAACTTGAGCAAGATGAAACTTCTGGAACCAGTCTGTGGCATGGTAGCTTGTCTGGGAACCAAATGTTACCTCTTCTGTGACATGCTCTCCAGTTTACCTGGGTTGAGCGTTCTGAGCCATAAGTATCGGGTGGACAGCCAATCGAAGGCAGTGCTACACCCAGGATCCTGACTGCATTACCCATCCTCTTTATAGCCCCTGGGTCTTGGCACTTTGCTCCCGCACCATCAGTTTTCTCTTAATGTGGTAGCCTTTTTTTGCCACAGAAGGCAAAACAGTGATGGATTTTAAAACTGGAAAGCCTTCAAAGCATATATCCATAGATTCACAGCACCTTTTGGGAGTTTGGGGGCTAGCAGGAAAACTCTCCAGCATTCCCACACTACTACTGAGGTCTGCCAAGTTGTGCTGCAGCCCACGGAGGCTGCTCGTAGTAGTGGGAAGTTGTAAGGCCATAGGCTGACTACTCCCTCTGCAAACTTGAGCAAGATGAAACTTCTGGATGCTCAATATCCTCCTGGGTAGTAAAATGTGGCCAGCCTCTCAGAGGATATTCATGAGGTGTGAGTGGACTATTCTAGATGGAGCCTAGTGGGGGTGGATACCTCAGGGGTTCCCTAAAGGCACCCACCCCTTTCTCTAGGAGATTAGAAGATCCATGTTCATGTCCCACACCTGCTTGTGAACTGGTGTTTAGTGCAAAGTGTCCTAAGGGTCTGTGAGACCTCCTACCTCCCTAGCCCAATGCCCTGTCCTGCCTGGCCCTGCCCTCCTCCTCAAGAGCCATAGGCTGTTTCCTGTGCCTGCCTTCATGCCTTCCAGGGGCAGCACCAGGGGCCACAGAAAGGGGATTTAGGGGGAAGGCGGGTAGAGGGGGCTCACCAGGGCTCCTTCCAGGCACGTGGCATAGTTATAACCCCGCCCCATAACCAGGAGTGACCTCTGTTTGTAGAGCTCCAGGGCCAGGTCGTGGATCTTCTCATCCAGCGACAACACTTCCTTGATCAGTTCTAAGTCGTGGGCATAGCAGAAGGGGAGAGCCAGTCACACGAATTTTAAAACAAGATTCACAAAGAAAAGTCATGGTGTATAAGACAAGGTTTTGGAACTCGCTTGGTGTCCTTGCATTAGTTTAGAAGGTTTTTAACCCTTGGATTCTGACTGCAGAATGGATGTTACCAGAGGGGCTGGGGGAAAGTGAGAGACCCTGCCTTGAAGTGTGCAAAGGCAACCGTGGTAGCTGCCTCTGCTTTGCAGATGTCCACCCAGTGACAAGGGTACCCAAGCCTTTTTTATTATAAACAATGTATTACTATGAAAACAGTTTTGACTGAAAGTATCTTTTAGACTACCTCTAGAGAACTGCCGGCTTAGACATCAGAATAGAGTCCTGTGTTTGCAGGATTTTTCTTACCTTACTTTAAGGTCAAGACTTTCTCTTCAGTACATTTTCAACATGTCAACTTGGTCAGATTCAGATCCCTAGTCTTGCACCGGTACTTGTTAGCCTCTTAAGTGTAAGTTTTGCTCACTACCTTCTCTGGGGTTTGTCCCTGACTCTCGGGGGGCGGGGGGTGGTGGGGGGAGACTCAGTAGCTGCTCATCGCCAGGAGGGCACACCCACAGCTTGGGGACCATCCTGCCCCCAGAACTCCTGCCTGTCAGCCACTAGTGAGGCCTTTTATGTTCCATTTCTCAGGGCTGCACAGATTAAACCCAAATGCCCTCTCTCCTAACTAAATAACTAAATAACAAATAACTAAAGATACTTATCTTGACAGTCTCAGGACGGCACATAGGCCACTGGTCCTAAAATACATGTGTGGTGAATGCACAAAAAATAAGTTTAGTGAATGAGTGACTTTGAGACTTTGGTCTCTTTAAAGAGCTCAGTGCAACAGACACTGTTATCTCACCGACTACAGCAGATGGGACCTCGCAACAGAGGCAAGTGGAGGGAGACTGTGAAGGGGCAGTCTGGGTCAGGAAGAGGTCTGGGAACTTATGCTTCCTCCTTCTTGGGTGTCCTTAGCACTTACTGTGCGCCCCCTGAGCTGACACTTCAGTTGGGGAGACAAGCCAGTACACAGATGAGCAAGTAATTCTGTGCACAGCATGTGCTACAAACATGCTGATATTTCATAGGTAGTTGGCTAGGGAACTGTCATCTCTCTTAGGGTGGTCAGGGAAGGCCCCAGGAAGAGACATTTGACTTGAGACTTGGGTGAGGAGAAGCCTATTGGCTGAATGAAGAGGGTTTCCGTAGGGGAAAAAGCCAATGCAGAAGCTCTGTAGTGGAGAGAGATTGGCATCGCTGTGATCGGAAGGTTGGTGAAGCAGCCCCAGTGGATGGAAAAAGAGCAGCAGGGGCCCAGCTTGCACGCTCCAAGGCTTGCAGTGTGGAGTTTGACTCCTGCCCCATTGGAAGTGTTGCAGTGATTTCGTGGTGAGTAGAAGTTTCGAGAAGAAAGTGATTAACAGTACTGATTGCAGGTGGAAGCCAAGGACGAGCTCAGTCAAATATCTACGGGATTTGAAAATGAGGAAAGTTTAGTTCTGAACATACCAGGTAAAGATTTTAGGCCATGGATGATTTCTTGTCTTCTATTTTGTAGTGAAATTCGGTCTTCAGACATCATCAAACCGAACATCACCAAAGATATGAACTGACTGGTATAAGCCTGTGAACAAAGAGGAGGGGCTGGCAGTGTATGGGCGGACATCTGCCTGGTGACCACTCGGCAGGGGCAGATCTCGGGCTCCCTGGTAGCCTCCTGCCTCCCTTCCACTACTCAGTCCTGAGGGGCAGTGTGACGCCTACCTTGGTGCTGGCCACGCCGACCTCTGGTCCTGCATTGATGTGGACGCCACAATCAGTCTCCCGGGAGATAGAGCTGCCCACAGTGTTGGTGACACCCACGGTCAGAGCCCGACGGTCCTTACAGTAGCGCAACGCCAGGAGGGTGTCAGCAGTCTCACCTGCCACACAGGGCCCATCCTTTCAAGTGTGTTCACAGGTGCATGGCTCTGCCAGCCCGACCCCGCACTCCTGACTCTGCTCTAGTGCTGAAACAGGTGCCCAGATACAGCCAGCATGCGCTCAGAAAAGAAAACGCGTGCTCAACAATTCTTTCAGTTGATTCAAAGATTCAAGACTTTGCCTCTATTTGTGGAATCACTTCCTTACCTACTATTTCACTGAACTCTCACGACCAGCAAGAGTTAGTCCATGAGGGCTGTTGTCCCCAGTGTCCCCTTGAGGGTGAGTTGCTCAGGGGCAGAGAAAATCAGACCACAAAGCCTCATGTGACAGAGCTGGAGCCCACCCAGGTGGGCCTGGTTCTCAGTGCCCTTTCTATGTCTCTAATCTGCTTTATTTCATATCGATAATATTTAACATTAAAAACCAAGAATGCCCTGAAGGGCAATTCTTAAATAGATGTTGTTTTAAAGGAAAACACTTCTTAGAGCCTCCCAGTGTATAATCAAATTACTTATATTATAAAACTAGTTAGTTTCACGTATAAGTCAGCACAGGCCTCCCCATGTTCCTAAGTCCTAAAAACTCTAACTTAGCTGTGACCCAGACCATAAAATCAGACCCACTGATGTCCTCAAGGTCTCAGGTCTTGTCCGTCCCAACTGTTTTGCAGGCCAGCTGTTGTATAGCCCGATTCTTTTACCAGCTTCAGACTGCCAAGTGCACTGCAGGCTCACACTGCCCTTCCTCAGCAGCCGTGAGGGCGAGAGGTGAGGAACAGGGTGGCTCCATTGATCTCTGACCCTACCCCTCTTCAGTTTTTGCTAGTCCTGTGAATATAAAGGACTGAACAAAACAAAAATGTAAACTTCTAGGCAGGCACTCAGGAGCTGCCACTGCACTATTATTTTCACATTAAATCCACCTCTGTTGTTTGGCTAGTGTCTGCCACCGATTCAAGAAGCATTTTTAGACTCTTGTGGAACTAGAAACCCAGAAGCAACACTGGCAGCTGAAGTCGGATGGCAGCTCCTGAGGTTGGCAAGCCTGGTGTTAGGAGGGCACGCGGCACCCGACGCAAGCAGTGGCTCTTCATGCCGCCCCTCTTGGGGTGTGGGTACTGCACAGCATCGACAGTGTGAAGTGATAATCGTGGAGAACTTTTTCACCACGAAATTAAGCCCAGCATGTATTGATAAGCACTTGGAGGGGTCCCTGCGTCCTGGACTTGGAATGGCAGGAGGGAGAAGCTGTGGCATGGGGCAGCTCTGGCTGCACAGCCCAGCTGCAGAGCAACTAGCCATGGCCAAGGGGTAAATAACCAGACAGAAGGGATGGGTATAGGCTCATGGCTGTCATGGAGAGGACAGGGTCCTGAGAACTAATAGAAACCTGTACCCCTTACCTGACTGGCTGATGAAAAAGCAAACATCATCCCTGAAGACAGGGGTGTTCCTGTCCAGAAAGTCACTAGCGAGTTCAACCATCACAGGGAGCTCCGTTAGCTCCTCCAAAACTTGTCGTGTCTGAAGTCAACAAGAATGGAAACTAAGGTCAGTCAGGGGCACTCCCGGGACACAGGCAGCTAGAGGCATCTGGGGACACTTTGTGAAATGGGCCTTGTCTTGGTGGTAAGGGAACCTCAGTACCTCACACACCACATTGCAGGGGTAAGGGCTTCATGCTGGTTCTCATGCTAGCTCATGGGCACCGAATTTGGAAGGTCACATGCATGACAAAACTTAAGACACGCCTCTTTGTAGGTCCTTGCTACATCTCCTATGACATGAAAGGATCAGCATGTGGCACTTACGGCCACGGCAGCGTGGTAGCTGGTCCCACAGCCGATCACAATGAGCCGTCGGCACCGTCGGATCTCCTTCAAGTGGTCCTTCAAGCCCCCCAGAAGCACTGCAGGGCACAAGCAGGTGTTAGTGCTGACCCCAAACAAGGACGGGTACTGTCCCAGAGCACACACCAGGGATTACCTGTGTTGGTTTCAAAATTCACCCGACCTCTCATAGTATTGAAAACTGATTCCGGCTGTTCAAAGATCTCCTTCTGCATAAATGCACTGAAGTTACCTGGTAAAATAACATCAACAGGACATGTCAGTTTCAATTTAGTTACATTTCTACTGCTTGGCTTTGAATCAAGATGACAAGTCATTATACAGTAAATCACAGTGACACATGTAAGGGAACCCGCGAGTGACAACGGATGTGCCCGGGCCACTGTCCCACCTGATGCTCACAGTGACCAGTGAGAAGGAAGCAGGTTAAGTATTACTATCTCCAATTTATTCAGCAGAACCTGTGGTTTAACCAAGGGAGTAACAAATATGTAATTGGTTCCTTGGCTGTGTTCACCTTATAAGAAAGAAAATTGCTTTACTGCCCAAAACTCATCTATATAGCAAAGTACAAATTAACTAAGCCCAAAGAAAGAGGCAATAAACAAATGCCCTCCTGGCTTCCATATTCCAGAAAACCTTTTCAGTCATACATGTTCTTCCAAGGACCTGACTGAATGGAACTGGACAACGTCAAAGGGATGATTTGGCCGAAGCGTGTTAAGGCCCCTGACAGGTGCTGTGCCTGATGCTCTGGAGGTGTTCCGAGAAAGGGTGCGATGTTCTCTGGGACAGACACATGCCTGAAGTCTAACAGTGCAGTGTTCCCTACCTGCAGCCACTGCCAAAAGTCTTGTACAAAGTCTTATCACCCAAAAGGGGTGACATCACTGTGGCAATAATCCAAGGGAGCCTGGCCTGTGAGGAGAGCAGCAAGGGCACCTGGCCTGAGTGTACCTGGTCAGGTATAGCAGGGAAAGGGTTGAGTCAGGCGGGGCCAAGTTGGGTGGTGGGCTTATTATGGCCTGTGGTTTTTATCTAGGAATAGCAGGAAACAGTTGGAGGGTTTCAGCAAAGGATAACAGGGTCTGAGTCACGTGCTTAAAGGTTTACCTGGGCTGCCTGTTAAGAAGAGGGCACAAGGAGGCAAATGAGGTGAGCGTAGACAGATTTTGGTCTGGGAGACGAATATGAGCAGAGAGAGAGAAAGGAGGGTGAGGGAAGTAAATGTGGGTGGAGGAAACATAGGCTCTCCTCACAAAGAGACAATGGCCCTATTTCTCTATAACCTGTCCAGAGAAGAAATGAAGCCTGGCATGCAGAAATGTGTCCCAGAGAACGTAAAAGGAGGCAGCTGATGGGCTGGGATTGGGCCAAGCAGGGCTCCCTGGTACCTGAATCTAGCCTGGTATTCCTTTTGGAGGAATAGGTCAAACTCCTCACATCCTGTCAGCTGTGTGAGCTACAACCCTGATGCCATGGTGGGCAGGGGGGCTGTGGCATGCAGGGCTGGGCAGGGCAGGGTAGGGCAGCACAGTGTCTCAAAACTCCCCCAGAGAGCACCTGCAGCTGAGGCCAGAACACGGACCCTTGGAAGATACCTACCTTTCATGATTTGCTGCAATTCCATCTGCAAGGTCTGAATGGCTCGAGATGGGTCGTCACTAGCCAAACGCTTGACCCGGTGAATGGAGAGTTTCCCATCAGCCACTGCAGCGATGTCATCATCTTCAAGGAAGATGACCCGGTTGGTATGTTCTATGATAGCGCTGGAGGCAAGAAAACATGGGCATTACAGATAGGCCTGCCCTTGACAGTGATGAGGTGGCAGTCACTCAGAGCTTCCCAACTTTGGGTCTGTATTAGTGCACTGGGTGGCATTTCATGAGGGGTAGACACATTGCACTATAAACATGACTCACTTATCTCTCCTCCTCCTGAATTATTTGGGAGCTAGTCCCAGATATATTATTTCATCTGTAGTTTGTTTTAGCTTATTTAGTTAAAAGTAAGTTTCAAAAATTTTTAACATACTCTTATCACATCTAAAATTAATAATTATTCCTTCATATCAAATATATAGCATGTTCAAATTTACCCAATAGTCTCACAGATACTCTTCTTTTTTTTTTTTTTAAAGATTTATTTATTATGTGTAACCTACTGGTGTGTAAGCCAGAGGACAGGGAGGGGATGAGGGAGGCACAAGAGGATTCACTAGAGACAGAGTGGGGAGCAGAACAGGCAGATTTACGAAGTACACTGCTGAGGGGAACAGTGGGCGAGACAGGAGAGATCTGCTGTGCCATGTGGGTCAGCTCCCTGGCTGGGGATCAAACTCATGTTGCAGTGTCTGATAGTGCTGGGACTTTAACCCCTGTGCCATCGAGATGGTACAGATGCTTTTTTAAAACTGCTTTCTTCAAATCAGGATCCAAACAGAACACATTTAGAGAATGCTTAGGAACCAACTTATTTTAAAATTCTGAACTGCAAAGGGAAAGATTTACTTCGCCTTTCCAAAAGATCCATTTTTCAAAATAACCATAGTCTATGAAAACAAGTTTCCTTTTACTAGAGGGACATAACCAGCAAAGAAAAGTGATGGAATTAGAATAATCAACTTTTAAACTCCAAATTATTAGTAACTTTAATCAAGGACCGTTAATGACGTTGAAACCAAGAAATGAAAGACCGAGAGCAGCTTTGTAACGGTTGGGTAAGACTGCAGGCATCTGAACCCCTGGATCAATCTTAACACCACACAGAGACAAACACAAGGGACATATTTGCCAGGACACCCCCACATATGAATAAAAAATATTACTAAAAATTAAAGACTGAAAGGTGAAAGGACCAAGTGTGTGGACATCTGCAATCCAGCTTAAAGGAAATAAAGCAAACAGAGGGCAAGGGGAATGACACCATGAAGGATGCATTCAACAAAATCCAGAAAAGACTCCAGACAAATGGCTCCACTTCTTAAATCACACACATACTCACACACACACTGCAAGGAAAAAAGGGAGGATCTTAAAAGCAAACTGCAAGAGCTAGCCACAAATGAAATGTGAGAACATTGTGTTTATCTTTATAACAACTTTCTCCATAGGCAAGGTAATACTGAAAGCAATAGAAAATCTTTTTAAAAAATAACTTCAAGATAGAAAAGTTGGTACATGAAAAAGAAAGTTAACAGCATAGGTGGTACACAAATATGAAAAAATACATGAATGAGTTGCTTGGGGGAACAGTGGAGGGGAACAAATATCCTCATTTTAGAATATGCCTCGCTCACACCTGCTCTATGCAGAAAAATGAACATTTAGAACTCGGGATGCAAAGTTAAAGAAAACAAACTAGCAATTCCATAGCTCTAAGAGAGGTGTCTCCAGACAGATCCTAGAGAAGAAAGATAAAGGAGGAAGGAAAGTCACTGCATTTAAATAATACACACCCATTGCATTAAAAGTAGAAGCACAGAGTAACCACAGGAAGAAGTAAAAATGGCTGGATTCCATCCCAAGAGAGAAACACTTACCTCCAGATAGAGCTTAAAGCACGTGTGTGTGGGTATGGTTTAAATCTCATAATTATTCTATTTTTTTATTTTTATTTATAAAATGAATGATGCTATAATCCAGTCAATAAGACTGTTGACCCAGGTGTCAGACACGCCCGAGGCGGAATCTGCCTGGCTCTGGTTCCCACCTGTCACGCAGGAGCTGCTAGCTGTGCCTGCAACAGGGGCGGTGGTGAGCACTGAGTGCAGTGTCCAGGGCAGGTGCAGGGACACGGTCACGCAGCATGGGGCTGGGCCTTGTGTCTGTGCCCCACCCCTCGCCCGGCCTTTTCACCACACATGCACAATCACTCTCTAACGTTCCCTAAACCTAAACAAAGAAAACAATCCTGAGGGTTTTAATTACAGCGCTACATTTAACAGTAATTTGAAGAAGTCAATATTTTAAACAATAATTGTTAACTATTAGTTTCCAACCAATTGGTTTTTGAAATAATGTTATGCCTTCCTGCCAAGAAATGAGGAATCGTTTCTTCTCTGTCTTCAAACTTCTTGTTTGTTATGTAAACTCTTGTAGTCTCTGGATTTTTAATACAATTTACTGCAAAGGGTTAAAACATTTTTCAGCGGTGATGAGTAGGTTATTTATTTTGTTCAACAAACGTCTGCTGAAAGCCTACTGTGACAGTCACATGAGAGGACAGGAGAGGGAGGAGGCTCCAAGCCACGTTCGGCCAGGCAGATTTCCATAACTTCATTTTCTGGCCAGTCATAAGTATTATTTCTAACAATCTTTCAATAGTATTTTATAGAGTATGTCATCACAATGTCAACAGGTAATTATTTCATCTCCTTGTGGGCATTCGGGCTTCCCATTCCCAGAAACATCTTATCACTGAATGAATATAACGCACCCTTGATCTTTATACACATCTAAGAAATAAAATTGTAGAAGATCATAATTGTGAGATACCAACTATCCACATAATAATTGTGCACCTTAGAATCTCAGCTTCTCATTGAAATGGTGTTCTAAGCTTGGGAATGCTGCTCTTGTCTGCACTAAGCACATGGTTGCCAGTGGGCTGACATGGCCTATTCTTCCATGTGTCCCCAGAGACCTACCTGCTCCCTAGCAAATCCCCACTGGCTGCTGTGGGAAGAGGCAGAATAAAAATCTGGATGAAGGAAGTGGTGGTGGTATTTATGGGGCTTTCTATTTCAACTAGCAGGGTTGTATTCTAGTCTTTTCTGAATGTGTGTGTGTTGTGTGTGTATATAATTATTTTTGAACTAAGATATGCATGAAACAGACTTAAAATTTTTAGAATTACTGTTTTGTGTACTGCTGGGAATGTCAACTTTGGAATTAACTGGACTCTAAATCGCAGTTTGTCTTCTATGAATGTTCAAGCAAACGTGGGCAAGGTGTGGGAAGACAGATGGTCTGGAGACACCTGCCCCCTCTAAAAGGAGCAGCCCTAGACAAGTGGGGCCAGAGGGAGCACAGCCAGTGTGCTCAGTTCTGATGCTTTTCCACAGAAGGTAGAAATCCAGATTTTTATGTGAAATCTCCCAATTAAAATATTGGCAACTGATTCAGTGGTTTTGTACAAGCCCAAAATATTGTGCCCCTCAGGGACTTGGACCTGGCCACCAGGGCTGCAGAGGACAGCCAGGCAGATGCTCACAGCACAGGCGTCCTGAAAGACCACTGAGGGCTGGAATGTGCATTACTTGGTCCTTTGCTGAGCTGGGAGGAAATGGTGGCGTTTAACCAGTCGTCCTTAGTTACATAAGCCTAGGATAGGAAGGCAACATGATTTAGCTACCTTGCATCAGAAGCAAAGAAGAATTCCACTGCTTTGTCACCCACGGCGTGAAGGCAGGTTGAGCTGTCCAGCCTCTTCATCCTTGTTTTACAGATATTCTTCACATTCTCAATATTGCCTAGTGAGTAAGGAAGGGATTGTAAAGCCTGCTAAATTATTCTGTTTGAATAACATGAAGAAAGCAGCCAATTTTCCCTTTGAATGTGTGGGAAAGATGTGCAATTTATAGCTTTGACTGCATCAGCCAAATTGTATAAAGGATCCCCAAATAGCACCACAGAACTGCTGCAAGAGCATTTAAACAGCTACAAACAAAACAAACCAAATCAATGTTTAAATTGGGACAGGAGTGCCTTTATATAACGGATCTGCGTGCTTCTCCCTGGTCTTCTGAAGCTTTTTGAAAATAACCATAATAAAAAGCTCTTGAACAAATGGAGCCCAATCTCAGCTGACTGAGAACTTTTTCAGCCTGGAGTTGAGTGCTGGGTCGCGGATCAGAGTGAAGGAGTCCTGCCTTTGAAGAGGGCTGCTCTGTTCAAGTTCTTCCTGAGAAACTTACGTGTCCTGTACAAGATGGGGATTTGTTCTGTGGAGAGTTTGTATTTGCTCCGCACTCCAATCAGCAGGGGACTGCCTCTCCTGTAGAGACAAGAGGGAGTAGAAATACCAGTCACCTGGACATCCCACATGGGACTGGCTGTTCTCTTAGCACTGGGGTGGGAGTGCTCATTCCCCCACAACTCTCTCTTCTCAGGACAGGGTGTCATGTTGCGGTCATGCAGGCAAGGACTTCCCCATAGGCCACAGACTGCTCCAGGGGCAGCAAGAGGAAACCCGCGTTGGCTGGATCAGAGGCGGAGGCAGCAGTAGGTCCTGGCAGCACGCAGGCCTCCACCTGCTGCACGTCCTTTAGTCCCAGACTGCCCCAGGATTCTCTCTGCGTCCTTTTGCCCAGCTCAGTTGTTTCCCAGCTTTAGGAGACACGACACTGGCTGACTTTAAGTTTCCTAGGCTTGTGGGCCACTTAAGGAGATGTAAACGGTTTTGTCTCTGCCTGAATGACACCTAGTGGGTGCTGTTTTGAAACCTCAACCTGCACAGGCTGAATCTGGACCAAAGATTTTCCCTGGGGAATTCCTGAAGCTGCCATGGGTGACCCTAACTCCTGTCACAGCATCCAAACGCAGTCACCTGCACCAGCTCCAGGTATACTAGAAGAGAATCTCAGCAAAGCATCTTACATATGATATTTCTTTCCTGTTCACAATTTCTCCAAGCTAATGTTTTTAGGGTATTATTCCATGATTATTTTAAAAGATTTATTTATTTATGCATACAGAACTGGGGTACAGGCCAGAGGTGCAGGGTGGTGAGAGGACTCACAAGAGTGGGGAGCAGAACAGCCAACTGATGAAGTACACTGCTGAGGGAAGCAGTGGGCAGGCCAGGAGAGGTCTGCCAGGCCATGTGGGTCACCTCTGAGGTGGGGATCTAACTCATGCTGAAGTGGCTTTAGCTTCTTAGTGCTGTGCTTTAATCCGCTGTGCCGCCAGGGAAGGCCTATTCCATGTTTTTAATAGTACCTTGTCTCCAAACTCTCATTCTATGCTTCCCCTCTAAGCTGCAGCACACAAATCAAGTCCATGGCAGTATGCAGTAACAAGCAGTCCCTGTCTGGTCTGGTATTCTTAGCCAGCACGAAGTGAGTGGCTGAGTCTGTGGCTATGAAGAAGGGGCTGTGAGTACCTGAAATATTTTGGATGATATTTTATTGCATCTAAAGCATATCAGAGACAGTTTTAAGTCCAAAAGGAAACTAGCTTAAATAGTCTTTCTAATAATATGACAAAGTTCTGACTTCTTTGGCAACTGTCTCACCCAAATATTATTGCTATAGGTTGAGCTTTGAGGTTTCTCTAAACTTTGTGACACATAATGCTCCCAAGACATTTCAAAAATTCTCCCGGACCAAGTTATAGAATCGTTAGTTATAGATAGTTTAGGAAACACAGTGTTATTGCTGCTTTACACTGCCTTCTGCATTAATTTAAAATAGCAATATAATAATAGTGAATTTTAAAAGGGGTTTCTAAATTGGATGGAGACCAACTTTTATTTTACAATTCTACAACCAAAGGAATTAAATTCCAAATGGTAAATAAGTTACTGTCCTAGAAAAAAAAAATTACAATATAGCCATATCACATTAAGACAATGTAACCATGCAGATGGAGAGTCCCACCCACTGGGGATTATGTCACGCTCCTCTGGGTTCCCTGCTTTTGCTCATGCTGGTCCTTTTGCTTGCCTTCCCCAGGCTGACACTTCCTTTCCTTCAGGTTCCCAGAGCAATGGCTTCCCCCCCCTTCACCCCTCCCTCCTGCATTCCCCATCAAAGAGCACACCATCCTCTGACCTATTCTGCCCTCCTGCATAGATGTCCAGTCTATAGGGCAGGACAGGTTTGTGTCTCTGGATCCTCAGGACACAGTACACAGTAAGTGCTTAGCATGATTAGTTCAATGGGTAGTCAGATAGATAAATGGTTAGATGAATGGATGGACAGATGGATAATCGACCCAAATGAATGTAAAATTAACAGAATGCGCTGACACACCCACCTATGTGAATCCACACAGCATTGAGGTTTTAACAGAGGGACATGAAGGCTGACCAAAGCCTTCTCCACTGTTTCCTAGAGTGCTGCTGGTTATTCAAATCAATGTCCTTTTGTTTCCACTTCATGTTCCTTCCTTTTCTAAAGGAAGTCTTAGAAATTATATAGGCTTCAATCCCCATGAAAGCTAGGCCTGCTCGACTTTGAAATAAAGTCACCACACAGTTTTAATTTGTTGTCAATTTATAACATGCGTACCTTTCAAATGAAAACAACTTTCTGATTTCTCTCTAAAAAAATTTAAAAGTTAGCCACAGAAACGGTGAGGTCTGTGTGTGGCCAGATCACAGCCATCCTTTAGCTAAAGCAAGCACCTTCCAAGTTGCCAGGGGCCTTACTTCTCCCTTAGGCCACCAACTATTTTATTTTATTGCTATCGGAAATGTCTCACCTTGTGGCAACAGCTTCTCCGGGGTAGTGAATGCTCTTGAAAACCAATGCAAATGCGCCTTCCTGAAAATGCAGAAAGAAAATGAGGGACAGCTCACTCTGACTGAGCCAGGTTTGCTGTCCCAGTCAGGTCTCCCTGAGCCCCTTTCCACTAAGAGAGGCTCTGGGGTCCCCTATTTTGGGGCAGGATGTGAGACTGCTCACACAGTATGATATCAGGAGGGGAAAGCAAAACACATGTACCTTGCTCAAGGGCCAAAGATCTGTGGGTTTCGTTGTGAGCAACAAACACGACACCTGCTCAGGCCCATTGCAAAATTCCCAGGTTTTCAATGAACTGGCTGGACAAGTGCAATTAGAACCTCAGGAAATGAGGAGCAGGGCCGGGAGTCCTGCCCAGGGCTCAGGACAAACCTCCACAGGGAGCAACCGAAAAGGTTCATGGAGCTAATCCAGGACCTGTACTTAGTTCAACGCAAACAGGAGCCTAGGTTCAAATCCTGGTTCCTCCACTCAGTTGGGAATCTTTGCAGCCTTCTTTGTGTCTCATCTGCCTCAAGGTGAACGGAAACGAAACTAGTCCTACCTTGTATACTCCTAGGAGCTAAGGCACTGTAAGTGCTTAGAACAGAGCCCAGCATATACAGAACCCAACAGTAGTGAGAGCTGTTGTTATTACTGTAATTATTATTTCTATGATGTAGGCTGTCATTTGCCTTCCCTCTACCTCGTACCTCAGTTTGTTGGTGTGTGCAAACCAGAATTAGAATCCAGTTGTACTTACTCATGATTCCAAATGCTTTTCCTATTTAAATCCTTTGTATAAAATTCTCTGCTACATTCTGACCATGCTGAACTCATTTACCATGACCCTAGCAGACCCTGGTTACATTACGATCAGCAATAAATCTGGATTGCCATATGAAATCCCCCTTGTATGGGACCTGGGTAGACCCAACGCTCTGTGGGGCAGTGCATGAACTCAGTCACACAACTGGAAGGACCCTGAGTCACAGCACCAGGCCTCTGAGGGCTTTTCAAGCTGTCCTAAATAAAGGTGGCTCACACACCCAAGGAGCCTGACAGCCAGTGTCAATTTTGTAAAAATTGAAGAAGTAGAACTGAATAGAAAAACACTTTCCTTTCACTGCCAAAAGAGAGCCCCATGTTGCTTTAGGTAAGAGAAGGTGCTGGAATTTATAAAGTGCTATCATCTGGGAGTATTTCCAAAATTTAAAATTATGAAAGGAAAAGAGGAAATAGCATGCTGCAATACCAAACTGGCTTATTTATCCTCCATAAACCACACATTCCACTCTACCTCATATATGGGACAAGCTCTTATTTACTGTGTCCCCCAAAATGGGAGTTATAGGGCAAATTGTTTTGACTTTAGACTTACTTACTTTCAAAAGCTCTGAAAAAGCTAAAGCATGATATAAACTACAGTGTCTTACTTGCAGAATGTCTCACACCGGAGGCTCCAGATTCTCAGGCTGTGGCTGCCTCAAAGGTGCTATTGGCAACACTGGTTCTTGGGCGGAAGGACTATGGGAAGTCTCCCCACCACCACCCTACACAGGGCTCCGCTTCTCTGCTTCCTCCTCCCAGGAGGGGGCTTGCTTGAAACCACCCCCTCCCTCTTCCCTCCACTGTGTGCTGCCCTCTTGAGGACTCTTTCTTGGGTCCAGCCCTCTGGGACATTACCCATCTCTCTTCCTCCCTCCTGGACCACTCCCTTCAGCACACAGATGTGATATGCTATCTCCCATCACAAAAGGGAACTTCGACCCTCTCCCATCACTGGGTCAACTTCTGTGCACATTTCTTTGAAAGTCAAACTTTTCCAAAGCCCCTACCTGCTGTCTCTTCCTTCCTTCCAGTTCTATTATTGAATGCACTCCTGAAATAACAGGAAATAGTACAATTCTACCTCCAACATCCATTAAATTCATCTTTGGCGTGTAAAAAGCAGTGCACACAACTCAACAAAAAAGATGACAACACCCTCTACAATCAAGCCACATAAGAAATCACAGACTGGAGAGCCAGTCACAATTCTAGACATTCAGATGAAGCAAGGCACTGGTTACTACCAGGAACACAAAATGTTTCCTAATTCTATCAGAGTGGAACATCTTGCAGCCAGATGCTGTGGACAACCATCTCTAATTTTCAAGGAATTTGTGCAAATTTGGTTAATAAATGAAGGAATGAATGACTTTCACTTGTAACTTACCAACTGCTGAATGACTCTCTCAACCAGTGTTGAAAATGTGATGTCCTCCGTTTCTCTGTTGTCGAACACGTACTTTATCAGCTTGGCAATAGTCTCCGTATCTGTTTCTGACTCAAACTCATAGCCTTTGCTTTCCTGGAATATTCAGTTGGACAGAATATCAGATAATGGTCATTGCGCAAAGCTGGCCTGGCCCACTCCCTTCCTTCCCTTATGAGTTGCTCTCAGAGTGACTTAAGGTGAGAACAAGGAAAACAGGGAAGGGATGAGAAATGTTTGCCAGAATCACACAGCTCAACATAGCTGAGTCATTCCAGCATTGCCTGAGATCATCCTGTCTCAGAAGCATGTCCTCGCTGTTTATCTGGACATTGTGAAATAACAGCAGTTAAAATGATCAAATTTGTTGAGTCCAGTCCACCCACATCCCACCCATCACCACAACCTTTTCATATTTAGACACTCATCGTCTGCCTTTCCAGCCAACATTCCACTAGGAGTGTGAGTTGATGTGTTATTTAGTATAGATATTTTAATAAAAGGAAGTTTATATTTTTATGTGACTGCAGTGGTTCTTGAGATAAACATAAATGCCCCACTAACTCCTCCCCGCAAACATGGTGGGATGCTGATCTGGGGGTGAAGTTTATGTTCTAGTGGTGAGGTGGCCAAGGGTGGGTCTCACTCCTCCTGCCTTGATCTCTGGTGGGAAATGATTCGGTTGGCAAATTTCTGGGAAAGAACCACACTAGTTGACTCAGGTGTTACCTAAGGGACAGGTGTTACCTGGGGACTCAGGCGTTACCTAAGGGAAGTATCTTACCAGAAATTTCCTCAGGTCTTTGTAATTTGTGATGATCCCATTATGGATGACAACAAATTCTGGAAAAGTTTAGTCAAGAGAGAAATATATGAAGAAGTGAAATTCAATTCAGATGCTAAGGAAAATGATTCAATAGCTTGAAACTCTCTGCAAACTGTGCTCTGACTTCTGATAAGGAAAGATCACTTATGGTGACGTGAAGTGACATCTGATATGACCACAATTTAAACCTGAGGAAACACACATTTCTCTTTCAATAGGAAGAGCCCACCAACCTTACCCAACATCCATAACAATTAACTGCAATGAGGTTTGTCCCAGGTTTAGAAATCATCCCACCACTACTCAATATAGCTGACCCTCACTCTATTACGGGGCTTGGAAAGGCTTGCACTACCCTAGGATGTCTTGGGGTGGGGTCCTGGCTAGCTCCAGAGATCATTCTGTCCACCAGACACCTCCCCATTAAGCTCAGAATGTGTCATCAGGAAATCCTAACTTAATTAGGCTCAACCCAGAGTAGAGAACCACTGGAAGGCCCAGGTTATGTCTCAGCGTCTCGCCTGCCATCGAAGCCCTGGCAGGAGTCTGGGATTATGCTCTTTCCATCTCACACACCCCCCAAGTCCTACTGCAGGAGACAGTGACATCCCTAATGGCTGACCACAAAGTCCTGAAGAGCTGTCAGTTGGAGCTCCAAATCTACCAGTCCTTTCCCCATGACAGAGGTCTGGTTTAATTTAAGGGAACCAGGGCCTGGAGAACTGTCCTGGAGACCCAGGTAACAGAGGGTGACCCATGAGCTGGGGTGGTACAAGGAAGGAGCTATGCAACAAACAAGGCCTGGGGCTCAACAGCTTGTGCCATAAGCAGTCACCATACCCCCATTCCCATGTCTTGGGCCACTGTCTGACAGTGTGACTCCAAGGTACCATGAGCCCAGTTACCAGATATTCCAGTTTGTCAAAGGGTGCCAGAAGTCTGGATTTTTATGTGCAATCACATTAATTTAAAAAGACGTGAAGCAAGAGCCGCGAGGTTTCTGCTGCTGGGAAGGTTTCTGGTACTGGCAGCTGCAGCCTCTGTGTCTCCAAATCTTAATCCCTTGGTTGCTGAAGCCTCAGTGCAGGGGTCCCTAGTTGGCACAGGTAACTCAGATGTTACCCAAGATCAGTACTGGCACCTATTCCGTCAAGACCACTTCCTCAGGAGCAGGGTGGATTTAGCTAGGTGAGGAGGGAAACCCATATTCCCCAAGGCATCACTCTGGGAGAGACTGGGTGGCCTCTGAGAAACAACGTCCAGGCTCTCCAACTGCTCACAACACCAAGTCCTCTCATAGGCTGGAATCCAAGAGCCGGAGGCACTTGTGAAAATCACCTCCATTTTTTTCTGAGGACATCTGGATGGTCAGGCCTGCCCAGGGGCCAGGCTGAGTTTGCCCGCTGTCTGGGGCCCAGTGTCACCCATTAGAGTCTCTGGGAAGACAAGGCCAACTGAGAAGTCAGTTTGCAGTGGGCTGGATTGGTGCTGGCATGGGCGAAGCCAGCAGAACCACAGGGACTGGGAAGCAAGGCTGGGGCACATACCGTTGCCTTTATCTGAGCGCTGTGGGTGACTGTTGACTGCATTGGGGACACCATGAGTGGCCCAACGAGTGTGGGCAATGCCAAAGTGGGTCTCAAACTCCACCTTTAAATCCATGCTGTCTTGCTCTAAGTGGGAAAAAAAAAAATGTGGCCACACTTTAAAAATAAGCATGGACATGGCGCTGTTATACCTAGACACATCGGCTCACTATAGCACAGCTCCAGCATGGTGATTTCTGCCAGACCCATCTGCTTTTACTCAGTACTTATCAGTAACCTAAATCACTTTACTGAATTTGACTTGCTTTGAAAAGAAAATTGTATATTGCTACTATAAATGGAAAAGCAGAGAAGTTAAATGCATAAGTATTGTTTTATTATTATTTTTATTTCTCCCTCTACTACCACGTAAAATAAACCACCCCACACTCTGGAAGACAGTTTTACAATGTGGGCTCAACTTCCCCTTCTATGCATCCACACTTGGATAGGTTAATATTTTTAGTCTGAAATGTTGTCAGAATAAGATTTCACCCAGGAATTTATTGCCTTGGTCCAGCGTTTTCTACTTACTGTAGAGTTCTTCATCAAGAGCTTTGACATTCCCCCTTTTCTTGACTAGCTGGATGTGTCTTTCTTTGACTTCACTGTTACTCCCATCAATTGCCACACCTGTAACATACACACAATTTTTTATGCATTGAAAGTTTTTTTTTTTTTGCACATTTCATTACAAGGCACCCTCTGGAGGTGAAGGCTACCCAGCATGGTGGACATACTAATTCTTATTCCACAGGTTTGTGCCCAGCAGAGATTAGGCAGATTTAGGAATTCAACTTCGATAAAAGAGCCTGTACTATGAGTGCCTAATGGACAGCAGGGAGCGTGAGCCTAGAATTGAGCTGTGGGTGCCTCTCGGGGAGCTCTGGAGAGCCTGCCTCTGTGGAGAGGACCACCATGTCTGCCACTGAAGGCAGTGGCCTCACCTGAGGGCTCATCTTGCTGCGCACCTTGCATTGCACTAGTGTTCCCATGATCTCTCATGATTTGCTTTATGTTAAGAATTGATAGGGAGGCTCTCCTTGGTGGTGCAACAGATTAAAATGTAGTACTGTGAAGATGGCCAGCCGGTTTTCGTGCAAGTTCGATCCCTGCCCTGGAGGTGACCCACATGGCACAGCAGCTCTCTCCTGACTTGTCTGCTGCTCCCCTCAGCAGTGTACTTTGTTGAGCTGCCTGTTCTGTACCCTACCTACTCTGACTCTGGTGGGTCCTCTCTCCTCCCCTGCACCTCTGGCCTGTACCCCACTTCTGTACGTATAAATAAATAAACCTTAAAAAAATGATAGGGAAATGAAATTATGATTCTTTTTTTCCCTAAGACTGTCTAATTAAAAATGGCAAACAGACCACATATACACCTGTTAGGGGATTGGAGGAGAAAACTGAGACAGCCATCCAGGGGAAGATTATGCAGTCACTCATAACAGATTGTTAGAAGAGTTTAGAGTAATTGAAAATGCTAGGATACGTGGAAGGAAAAATATGGGACTGCACAATTACTGAAATGATTAAAGGGTGCATAGGTATTCATGGTACTGCCCCTTCAATTTTTCTGTTTGAATTTTTTCAGAATGAAGTGTTAGCAAAACTGACACTTAATTAGACTAAAATTTCCCCCCTGTGTGACACCACCCACCCACTTCTCCCCACATCAGCCTAACATGTGCACAGCAACAACCAGAGGAGGGACACGATGATACTGACGGGAACTCTTTGTACAGTGCTTTTCCTCTCTCCACTATTCCACAGAAGTTTTCAAATGTCTATAATGAATAAGAGTTATAGCTATCACTCTGCACACAGTAGGGCTCACCTGCCGAGTCATAGCCCCTGTACTCAAGCCGCTGCAGGCCCTTGATGAGGGTTTCGAAAATCTCCTTTCTTGTCCGAGGGACTCTGTAGTTCATGTAGGCAAAGATTCCTGTTAAAATAGGGGGAAACGCTTGATTTGTATTTAGAAGAAAACACTTTGGGGGGCACAGACATGGTCATGGCATTGCCAAAGGGCTCCAAGACTTGCCGTGAAGAGGAAGTGGTCTTTCCTGACAAGACCCAGGCTCCCTCTGTCTTCTGCAAGGATGCTGGATCTATACCTTCCACATACACAGTCCAAAAAATGATCAAACTAAATAGTGCTAAAAATATTTTGTGTTATGAGGTACTACACATAATCATACACAGAATGTATTTGCACATTTAAGATGCAGAGCTTATGTTTAATATATGCACAGTGTGCTTTACGAGCAATTTATAGGCATTTTCTGTTGAAAATAGCCAAGTATACTTTTGACAGCCAGCTATTTCCGTTGTCCTGGCTGACTGTAGGTATGTGAGAGGCGCTACTGTGAAGGTGTGTGTGCAGGTGAGGGGGCCTGCTGAGCCCCTGTGCCCCAGGAGTTCACACTTTATGCAAAACTTCAAACTACCATGTTGGGCATAGGATATATTCTTGTTACCTTACCTACATATTTTTTAAAAAGATAGTTACCTTTGAAAGTAAGCATTAAACATTTTGGGGGCCCTCCTGGGCGGCGCAACAGGTCAGGATGCAGCACTGCAAGCTGGCCACAGCCGCCTCAGTACGAGTTTGATCCCTGTCCCCGGAGGTGACCCACATGGCACGGCAGTCCTCTCCTGACCCACCTGCAGTGAACTTCATCAATCTGCCTGGTCTGTTCCCTGCTATCTCTGGTGAATCCGCTCACTGGCCCTGCACCTCTGGCCTATATCCCAGTTTTGTATACCTAAACATTTTTAACAGCTTTTTATAGATTTAAATTGAGCCACAAAAGTCTCCTATTTAGCATACACAGGGCAATGAAGTTTCATATCATGAGTTGTGAAACTACTTCTACAACCTATATTTAGGTGGAATTTTTCATAATATTAATTTTTCTGCAAAAATTCAAAAAATGGGTCCTCCCTGGTGGCGCAACAGGTTAAAGCACAGCACTGAGAAGCTAAAGTCACTTCTGCATGAGTTCGATCCCCACCTGCCCCGGAGGAGATCCACATGGCGAGGCAGATCTCTCCTGACCCACCAGCTGCTCCCCTCAGCAGTGTACTTCGTCGATCTGCCTGTTCTGCTCCCCACTCTATCTCTGGTGAAGCCTCTCGCCGCCCCTGAGCCTCTGGCCTGTACCCCAGTTCTGTATTCACAAATAAATAAATCTTAAAAAAAAAATCAAAAAATGTCCTGGGGGACATAATCAAATTCCAGTTGCTGTAATGACCACATAGCTACAGGGAACTGCTAATGTAGGATGGAAAAACTCAGGGATTACTTTTTAAGTTTTTTAACAACAAAATTCTCCCAGAATCCTAGGGATCATTCTAGAATTATATTTGCCCCTCTCAAAGGGGAGGTGACAGGCGTTGCAGATGGCACAAAGGCCCACACACCTATTCTGGAGATGCTTTAAATCTAAAATGCCTTTATGAAATCACTGTCTATCTTTGCTCTCCAGATCCCCATTCACCCCAGCCTCCAACTTTCCTCTGGGTGAAACCTCACTTCTGGACTCATGTCAGATGTGTATGTTCTTCAAGGGGTCTCTGGCTCTCAGATTCACAATAGTCTCCTAGGGTGGGCATGGGGGCTGCTGCCAGAGGCCCCGGTAAGCTGGATGACTGGGTATCCACACCCAGTTAGAAGGTCCTGTGGCCACTGCGGCACAGTATGGGAGATTACTGTGGTGGCAGTGGGATGCAAGGTTTTCAAGGTTGTTGCACAAGAAGGCATAAATAGAACTTTCAACATAAAATCTCTTACATGCTACTCAGTAAGTTCTTTCATTAAGCACTCTCTCTCTCCTCTGGCAGCTCACCCTCTTGTTTAGATACTCCCTGTACTCTACTGAAGTGAAGTTAGTAAAACAACATTAATATTATAGTCTTACTATCTTTAAAAAAATATATGAAGTACAACAAAGCTGTATTCCCAGGGTTTTTCCTTGCTGTTCATGCCGGAACTGACTTCTGGAATTTTTTTGCTTCATAATAGATATGATGGTGAGATCTATTTTTTTTTTTTTGGCCTATTGTATTAGTAAATATTAAATGGTTTGACAATAAGTAAAACTTTAAATTTGTGCACTATGGAAGGCAATCTGGCAAGCTCTCAAAATTAAAGATATGCGCTATTGACCAGAGCTGTTGCACTTCTAGGAATGTAGCCAACACAAATCTTTGCTGAGACACATGTGTGCAACTACAAGGATAGTTCCTTAGGGCTGTTCAGGGCAGCTAAAGCCTGGGGACAATGGGCTGCCTGTAGGATCAGGGAAGTGAAGGGTCTGCCACAGGTGAGCAGTGGACAGGAGGCCCTCCAGACCCCTACACTAGGATGTGCATGCTTTTAGAAAGCAAGCCACACCTCCAAGATGTGTAAAGTGGAAAAACAGCCTGCAAAACCTGAGTCAATTATGCAGGGTGGGGAGGGGAGACAACAGCATTTCTGGAAAGAGCCAAGATGCAGGGGTAGTGTTTGCCCCTTGGGAGGCCCTGGACAGAGGGCAGAAGTGCCCTTTCTACTACATGTATGCTGTTTGCATGCCAGGACATTTCAACATTACACATTATTTCACCATGTGACAGTGTATGACTTAGGGAGTGGTGGGGAAGGCTAACTTGACAAGATAGCTGCACGCCCATGTATAACAGCCAAGTCATAGAAACAACTTAAGTGCCAATCAATGGATGACTGGAGAAAGATCCACAGATGGGTGAATCAATAAAGATATACACACAGTGAAGTACCATTCAGCTCTAAAAGGAAGGAAATCCTGACCATATGGGTGGACACTGAGGTCATTATGCTAAATGAGACAGAAAGAAAATATTATATGACCTTCTTTATGTGGAGAATCTTAAAAAAAAAAAAACCTCATTGATGAATACCTGAAGCTTATACAGGGTTAAAATGAAATGTTATTTAAATTTAAAATAAAGAAAAAGAGAGAAAGTCAGAAAAAGAATTCAGATTTGTGTTTCACATGCAGAGGGTGGGAAGGGTCTACCGGTACCGACTTCCGGTTGTAAGATAAATGAGTGCCAGGGACAGAATGTACAACATGATGCTATAGTGAAAACTGCTGCATGATATATAGGAGGGTAAATTCTGAGAGTTCTTACTTAGGACAAAATGTGGTCTTGTTCTATTCCTTCTTTATACTGTATATGTAAGAGATGATGTATGTTTGCACAACTTACTGCAGTCCTTTCACAATTTGTTAAGTCAGACCATCATGCAGTAAGCCTTAAACGTATACAATGATGTATGCCAATTATTTCTTAATAGAACTGATGGAGACCAAGAACAGAAGATTTGGGAAGGAGGCATCACAAGACCAGAAACTGGCAAAATTGGAGATGGGGGTAGAAATGATTAACCTAGTCCTTAAACAAGTTACAGAAAGCAAAGGCAGAGGCCCAGACTCTGGGGTGGGGATATGGAGATCGAGGGCCACTGTAAAAGAATCACTGGTCCTTTCAGATCAACCTAGTTAAGCCAAACAGAAAAATTCTTAAGCGCCAACCCTAGAAATAATTAACAGCAGTTAACAAGCCCACAAAAGAAGGAATCCCTCTCAAAGGGAAGACGCTACCTGCGGATCTCTGCACTGTCAAGATGCAGCATTGTCACAGCGGCCTGGACTCCGCATGTGTTTCTCTTCACTGGCCTAGTCCCTCCCTCTCTCCCTCACTCCCTCCCTCCTGCTCTTGCCAAAGCAACACAGGCAGCTGTCTTCTCAAGGCTGCCCACCTGTGACTAGGCAGGCCTCTCTTTTAAACAAACCCATCCCTTGCAGGGGCACCTCTCTGTGCCACTTGGGTCTGTGCCAGCATCCCTGACTTCCCTTCCCTGTTTCATAATAAATAAATCTGCCCTCCCCAAAGTGCGTCCTGGGGACACTCACCATTTGCCACTGAAAGGGGAAGCTCTGGTGAAACTTGTGTCAGAGGACCCCTACTCTCTGAACCCAACAGCTCCTCAAACCAACATGAAAAACTGGAAGAAAGATAGTGAGGGACACACAGAGAAAGACTCAGAGTGCGCGCCAGCACACAGTCCATATAGTGCTGTCATCCAGTTGAATCTGATTTCACTGCCATCACCACAGCTCCCGAGCACAGCTCACCTGGATGCCTGACAGTTGCAACATGGGAGAAAGCATGGCCTTCTGATGCATAAAAGGCTGGGGCTGGGAACACCCACTTGAGTGCCTGGGCCCTTGGCCACTCACCAGTCTGTGACACCAAGAAGCGTAGAGGTGTTCCCATGTAATCTGTGCCCAATATGGATTTCAAGTCTCAGCTCATTCTCGCTTTCTGTCCAGCCTACAGTACCACTTCCTTGGAAGGGTTGTTGAGAGGATTCATGGGGCCATTGTCAAACTCCCAGAATGGTACCTGCTGCATAGCCAAGTGAAGTGGGCGAAAAGCTCCCTAAACGCAGGGATGCACGAGGGAGGCGCATGGGAAGCCCTTGAGAAATGATCCTGAGCCTAAGCCAGAGGCAAATAGTACCATTTTACTGTTCTTGTTTCTTGGTTTTACTTGGGGAAATAGCAGCTAAGCTAAATGCATGATTTGGCTGCAAGTGAATCAAGATTTAATTCATCCTATAACCATTTCTCGGTAGCACTTGAGTCTCATCACTGGAGGTGTCAGAATGGGCAAGTGAGAGGGCTTGAGGTGTGGGTCTAGAGAGGACATGGTGCACAGGAACCTCTCAACACTGCAGGGGATTTTCAGGCAGAGAGGCTGGTTCCTGAGAGGTGGGGAAGGAGCCCGTGAGCTCCTGGGCTGGCCCAGTGCAAAGGTGACCTCAACTCATTCTGCAGGTGTTGGCTCACAGGCACCCACTCAGCCTTTCGCTCTCCCAGTTTAAAGCCGTGTGGTCTTGTTTATAGCCTACCT